GCTCTGCCCACTACAGGTATCGAAACCCGGTTTTTAGCGTTGTAATTCCGCAGACACACCACTGTGCCACTTGGAGGCCTGAGTGATGTATTGGTTTTCTTTGGGTATTGTCTGTTCTGCAGCTTTCGTAAGACACTCAGTAGTTGTATGACAATAATAATCAATATCAAATGGTTTCTCTGCTAGTTATTATTGTATCTGGTAATAATTAGTCTAGGAAGTTTGCATATTCTTTCCAGTTTGCTTTTTAATAATCAAATTTAGGTTTTCTTATGGGCTTATTATGGGGTACGAGATCAAAGACACATTTTACCGGAAAGTGATGGCTATCAACATCAAATCCAACGTTAAAATTTGAACATTTATTACTAATATTTGATGAGCTTATACACAGATCCAGTATATCATTACTATTGTACGGAAAGCTTGTGTGTGTGTTGGAATTGTATCATTCAACAGCACACATTCACTACTTTCTAGGAATTCCATCAATTTTCTTCCATATGTTGTGGTTTCCTTACATCCTAAATCTTTATGTTTACTATTGAGATCGCCAATAATTATCAGATTATTATAATGTTGGTTAAGGTTAATATCTGTTATTTTGGTTGGAGAACAGTAAATGCCTGCTATTGTTATGCTACTATTATTTGATATATAGTTACACATTCATTGGTAGTTTCAATATCTGTCTGTGTTACATATAGGGTTGTTTTATTAACTACAGCAATACATATATTTGGATCATTTTTTATTTACTCTATCTCTTCTTATTCAGTTATGACCAATAAATTTTAATGTATTATTTGTATTTAATATAATTTCAGTTATAACTAAAACATCAGTATGTACACGTAATAATGTCTTCGATCTCGTGCCACTTGGAAGCAAGACCACCCTGGATGTTTATGTGTTGCATAGTGAATTTTAAGCAATAAGTGAATTGTTGAACTAAGTGTGGAATGATTGGTGTTATGTGCTTTTTGGCTTTTGTAAGAATAAGTGTTATTTAAAGTCATAGAAAACATTTTTAATTGCTTCTGTGATTGGATTATTTTTGTGTGTAGTAACATTTGTATTTGTGGTTTCTCGTTTTTCTATTATTTCTTTACTTTGTTGTTGTTATGTAGAGTTAGTTTAATTTGTTTGCTGATTTTGTGATTGGATTTGTTTAGTTCGTTGCATGTTACTTGTTTGGTTGAGAACTGCTGCTGCGTATGTTTTAATTTTGGGTTTATTTTGTTTTCTGGGGGTTTGGTTTAGTTATGTTTCTGTTAATGTTAAATAATCTTGTTTTAATTTCTTTGTATTTTTGGCAGTCTTTGTAATTGGCTGTGTTTTGTTCTTTTACAATTACAGCAAAAAACGATTTTGTTGTTCTTTCTTGCATTGTGTAATGTGATGTTCTCCACCATAACCCACACAACGTGGGAAAGATTTGCAGGCCGCGGCTACATGCCAGTACAGTTGGTAGTTATAGTACCGGGTCACAACTACCGCAGGCATTTTAGTTCAGCCTGTAACCTCTGATACCAGAGAATGATACCATTTGATATCAATGTCTGGATATATTGTGTGTTTTCTGTATACACTTTGATTATGTTTGTGGGTTTCTGTGTTCTTGCTGAGGTAATTCTTTCTGCCTTAGTAAAAGATATATTTTATTTTGTGTTCTTCTTCAATTTGTAGTATTTGGATATTGTAGTGAATTCCCCATATCAAAAGATATTATGTTTGTGGTTTCATCCCTGGTAGGTGAAATGAAATTTTTCCAGGGTTGAAGGTATCTTTTGATCAGTCTTGGAGTAATTTGTTCAAATTAGCTGGCTCTCTAACTTTGATTAAAACACCGCCTTTTACTAAGAGTTTAATAGCTGTTATTTTAGCACGTGGCTTACATTTTCTGATTTTAACCGCTAATTCTGGTTCTTTATACAAACCAGGTATACCTCCAATTATTAAAGCATATTTTGGGGGTTCTTTTGTTGTTTGTTTTGCATGTATGTTTGTGTTAATTTCTTACTTGTTATCATTGTAAAACCACCACTGTTATCTCGTTGTATACTTTCTATTTGTGTGGAATTATCCTGGATGATTTCATTAAGTTTTTTTTTGTTACTTTTTGAGTTGTATCCATATCATTATCACTAATTTCTTGGTCCGGAGAACTATAGCTTCCTGTGGATCTCATTACCATTTTACATTTCTTAGAAATACCTTTAAGTTACTTCTTAGCAATTAAGGTTAGATTTTCTAAGTTAGGACTTAATTGTAAGTTATTTTTACTATTACTTGAGGTGCCATCTATATAAGTTACTAGTTGAGAGGGTCTCTTCATTTTCACATACACTTGTAGAAGCAGAGACTTTCGTGTTCGTCTTCATCGTTGTTGAATCCTTTAAGGATATAGCGCGCACAACAACCACGCAACTTTCTCTGTTTTATCTGTCTTGTCTATACGTCGATCACTTAAAGCTGATTTTAATTAAAGTTTATTTTGCTGTCACTGCTTTGTAGAGTGTGCCTGTAATCTTATACGCTGAAGCGTATAAAACTCGCCAGTTATTTCTACAAGGCTTAAAGAAATTTCAGTTGAAAACGGGTTTTTGTAGGAGCCTAGAGCAGGTATGTCTTTTTTACTCGAATATCTTTGCTGGTTTCTCTATAGTCTTTGTTTGTTTTGAATTTCGCGCAAGGTACTCGAGGGCTATCTGCACTAGCCGTTCCTAATCTCGCAGTTGATAGACTAGAGGGAAGGCAGCTAGTCAACACCAACAACTCTTGGGTTACTCTTTTACCATCGAATAGTGGGATTGATTATAACATTATAACGCCCCCACGGATGAAAGGGCGAGCATTTTCGGTATGACAGGGATTCGAACTGGCGGACCGCTAATTGCGAGTCAAGTGCTCAAACGAACAGGCCATGCCAGGCCGATCTATAGCCAAGATATTTACCAAGAAACGCAAATTTAGCCATGTATTTCCAGAACTTAGCACTATAAGCCTTAAAGATTTTAAAGCTTACCGCCTGAGCCACCAATGAGTCAACTCACTATAAGTACATATTCAATTTTATCTTCTTTACGTGTAGCTCCCCAGTGACTCAGCGCTAAGACTGAGAGCGTATAACGTTAAAATTCGGGTTTCGTTATCCGTGTTGGGCACGACACACATATACTATTGTGTAACTTTGATTAACAACAACAAAACTTTGCTTGTAATTATTTTCAGTAAATTTTCACATATCACAAGCATTTTAAGCACATGTACATATACCAACGAGCAGTAAGATGCTATTTTATTTTATTAATACAGAAGCAGAAAAAAATGCCAGGTTGATTGAAAATTGTTTAATTGTCAGACCGTATATGTATATTCATATTTTTATCTCTTTCTATCAAATATTAAACCATCCACAGTTGGTTTAATCTTATCTTATACATGTTTAACAGCCTCAGTGGCTCAGTAGTAAGTCCGAAGGCTTATAACGCTAAAAGTCGGGTTTCGATACCCGTGGTGGGCACACCACCGATAGCCCATTACTAAGCTTTGGGTATAACAACAAATAAACCAACAAATATATATCCAATTTAAACCATTTAGTTATATATAGAGTATTCTAATAGAAGAACGTAAAGTACAAAGGCCTATCTAATAAATTATTAGGTGACAAATAAAAATATACTTGTGTCTCAAAACATTATATATTACATTTTAATGATAAAATAATGGGTCATCATGCAATTTGTAACAAAGGAGAAATCCTTAGATTATGAATTATTGGTGTAACGGAAGATTGTGTGTTACGCCTATTTTATTTTTATTTTTAAACGTAATTTGTTTCTTGTTTATTAAATATGAAATAAAAACCTATTATACAGAGAGTACAGTGCTTTATTATTTGTTATTATTCTAGGTGACAGTGGAAATGCTGAATAAAACAACGTCAGGATTATGGTGTTTCTTTGGCACTGTTCAAAAGATGACCATAGTTTCGAAGGCGATTATTCTGGGGCCATATTCAGTTCAATGTGACCTTCCTAGCATCTCAACACACAATGTCTATCAGTTAATGATAATTCCTGAATCAAAGATTGTGAATAATTCAACACGAATATCAATGTAAGACGGTTGATTTCCATTTTCTGTGATACTTATATTGTAGTTAAAATAAAGCTTCTCACCTCTTTGTTAATTGTGTATTTTGTAATGAAAATAAAAACAGCTCGTGTAGTTCGTTATTCGATGAAGAATACATGGAATGTGTTTATGTGTAAAACAGCAACAACCTATAATGTAAGGATGGATACTGCTTGTATTATAGTTGATTATAGGAGCGTTTGTAATGCTTATGAACAAATAAGTTCACTGTATAGATAACATATATGTAGAAATTATATAAACTGAGACAGGTTGTCTGAGTTTGTTAATTAATGATTATTTTATTAGTTACAAGAAACTGGAAAGTCGATTTTTGTTACTTACTCATTAAGAGAAAGAGGAGACAGAGTCTAAGCCTTCACATGATTGATGAGACTAGAAAATCTATTAAATCTAGAAATTATCCACCGAAATCAGTCGTGTGTATATCTAAAAATGTGTGACTGACTATAAAATATGGACTAAATTAGTTTAAATCCGGGTACCCACGCGTGAACATGTGTAAGAATTGCTAAATTAAAAAAAAAATAATTGTGATAGGTAAATGTTCACCTTTTACGTCCGAGAGAGAATGAAACACGTAGTATTTTTCAAATTCCAGAGTAATTAACATATCAGAAGAAAAATATAGAAAATGAAAAAATTAACTGTGCACTTTTAACTTTGGAAAAGCAGAATGACTTGTCCACAATCTAGACAAGATGTCTGCCAAAAACAGTTTATCCAGTATTGTTTCCTGCAGTCCAGATGCTACCTGAGACTAGTCTGGTAGCCCAGCCGGGCTTTGTGCTCACTTCCGGTTCACAGTGAGCCTATCGGATTATCACTGTGCACATTTCACTTACGACCAGTGAAGAGTATTTCAAAGTGACCGAATTTTGTCAAATATTGATGATCGATAACAAGTCACACTGGATGGAGAGTGGTAATACTTTAACTTCAAGTGAATGAAATTGTCTATGGATATATCATAAAGGAATTAGGTAAGTATTAGGGAAAGTGAATGAATAACATCACAATTAATGTTACCACAACCAGACGTAGTAGGTTAAAGTTTGTTTTCTTTAGAAATATGCGCAAAACCAGACAAGGATTATCTATGCATACCAGTCTCTAATTTTGAACTGATAGACTGAAGGAAAAGATAACAGTCAACAGCATTTACAGCCAACTCCTGGCCTACTCTTGTATAACCGAATAGTATGATATCAATGTCACTCTGGTTACGTGGAATGGATCAAGAACCATGAATTTTCAGATTCATAGTATGGGCACGCTAATCACTACGCCACAACCGGCCTTAATAAAGGAGTTGAAGGCTCACAAGCCGAAATTCACGAGGAATAAGAAACTAGTGTTACAACAATACAGTACATAGCCTTCCAATCATGTGATGATTTGATAAATATCTAATGTTAATTAATTAAATTAGAGTATTTCAGAAAACGTGTTTCATACATAACACTATTTGTTTGATAAAGCCAAAATTTGGTATTATAATCTCTAGGGTGATTATCCACTAAATTACAAACCAAAAATATTGTTTCTCTTAACTTCACTTAATGATAATTATCAGAAAAACTGACTTTTGTGTAATATTATCATTATATTTTATTTGAACTTGAACACAAAACTACAGAATGGGCTATCTGTGCTCTGCCCACCACGGGTATCAAAACCTAGTTTCTAGCATACTGTTGTGCAATTGGGGGGGCCTTTACATTTTGTCTCATAAAATTACTACCATGTCTAATAGTTAATATCCTTCTGACCAGCTTCAAATAAGCTTTTTGCAATTTTATTAGCATTGGCAATTAGATTGCATACAAATATTTAAATCAAAAATCAAATAGTATTGAGGAATAATAATTTCGTAAATTGCCCAAATATGGCGCTGGGCATAGTACGGCCTAAAAACATAATTGGAAATTGTAGTAATGTTTACATTCGATAGATGACACAACAGTGATATTGTATTTGTAGTACTGTTACACTGAATTTCATTATGTAGAGTACATATATTGCCATATTAGCGAAAGTACCGGCTTCGCACAGGTTGTTAGATTGATATATAATAGCAAGTGCACAAAATTTTTTCAAGAAAGTAAAAATATCGATCCAATTTTAAACTAAAATCTGAATAAGATAAGTGATAATACCCAGGTGCACACCCTCAGGGTCCACTTAGTATAGGTGCAAAATTTCAGGTTTCTAGCTTTTCCTCTTGAAGCTATGGCGGTTGCACACACACACACACACGTCCTTTTATTATTATAAATAGAGTGTCATGATGCAACAGAATTGAATATCCGTCTAACTAAATAATTCCAAACAAACGTGATTGGAAACAATTTACAGTTTAAAATAAACTTGGACGAAAATAACATACTATTTCATATTCTGAATAACATACTTACAGTAAGTTGGTCAAATTCTTTTCAAATTCAGGACTATATATAATTTCATCTTTTCTTTTCTATATGAATTGAAGAGAAAGAATGATGAATATATATATATAATGGAGCCTTGGAGGATGTTACACGTTCTATTATACTCAAAAATATTTTACAGTATTATTGTTAGTGTTATTGTAAATTTGATACTGAGAGAAACATTGTGTGAACCAATGAGTTCTGTCTGCAGGAAGGCCCCACTTTTTCTCGAGAGTATCAATGTGTCGTGTGTATCATTTCTTTCTTTCCTTGGCAGGTATTTGGGTTCAAGGGACCAGGAGCACTTAGGGATGTAAAATTACTTTCACCTCACTCCTGGCTTGAGAGTTGTGGACAGAATACTTTGTGATGGAATGGGGACCATCTGATACATTGATTTCTCTCCCACTGAGGACGCAGCCACCAAACAAGCAAGTCAGAAAATGGCACAGAATTTGTCATTAGGTCTTCTTTTTACTACTTGAGGGACTTGTTTTTATTCTTACTTTTGGTCATCCTGTCTAACTAAGCTCCAAGCAGACTCTATCCTTCCTTTAAAAAAAATCATAGAATCTAAGAAGATGAGAAGGTATCCAAGATATCCAAATTCCCAAAACTTTGATGTGTGTATGTGTGTTGAATACCTTGAGAGAAACCCACTTTCACTGGTCGGACGCCGAATAGACTATTCGATAAGTGCTCAACTGGAAAAGATAAAAGTTAATGTTATTATTAAAAGCACATATTTAAAGGCATGGATGAACTAATCAACAGTTGGCTGAGAAGGACTCATTGTTTCGCCTACGATGGGTTCAAACAGAATTAGATTGTTGTGGGACATGTATTTTTGTCATGGTGCGGGAGTGGCGGCTACAGACGGGAATTGTGTTGACAGTTTTTTCTTTGTAATGTTTTTTTTATATACATAAAATGAGGATGATGAATTTTGGACTCTTCTTTAAATGTGGTCCTTTGCTGATCGCGTTCAAGTATTGGTTTGGTATTGTAGATTGGTATTCGATAAGCAATTCTGATGGGTCTGTTTTGCTGACTTTGTAACTTTCTATATATATGACCTGTCATATTGCAAGTTATTATACAGTCATACTCTAGAAGAGGCCTGATATAGGCACGATAGACTGACTGGCGAAGTAAAACGGATTCAAAACCCTATATATAATAGGTTATATCGTTGCACAAACTGTGTATAACATCGTTGCTACTTTCCTTCTCTACATTTCTTATCTTTCATTTCTATTCAGCCAATTATAATAGTTGGAATTTACGAATCGAGTCAGTGGATTTTACAAACTATCAAACTACTGCAAAAAAAATTCAAGTAAAGCTGTTTATTTGTTTGCCTTTTTATTAATTACCAAGCGACTTTTTACTTAAACAAATCAAACACAGATAATAAGCTCACTTTCAGTGTACTAGTGATGCTTTGCCGCCATTTACAATCAGAAATTATTAATAGATACTATTTGGGATTCACATTCAATACTTATGGTGTTTGTTGCGATAGTTTATTTAAGTTATGAAACAAGAGACAAGTGATTTCTGAAAGACTTCAAGTTTTAATTTATTATCAGAATATACTGATTATTTCTTCTAATAAGTTTCGAATGTTGTAGAACTGTTTCTTCACACTTACTTGTAGAATGTAGAAACAAGGTTACATACCTGATTTTTACACATATAAATTAAGTTTATTTTTTTGTAGATTATGAAGTACCAAATAATTCTTATATGTGTGTGATGATCATTGTTTTGTTTTTTATTGTTGTTGTTTTTTTCACAGGTTTGTACCTAATAAACAAGCACACATAAAAACCAACATTCCAGTATCACTGGCACTTGAAGCTGGGATTACAGAAGAACTGAATGAAATTAAGATAACGTTTGATATTAATCTCTACTTTAATGTACATAATTGTGTGATATTAGAATATTCGTTTAATTGAAAACTGCTTGTAATGTTCTATTTCACGAGTCTGCTGTAACGTGTGTCTATCTGGAGTATAAAGGTGTATCAAAATGTGTAAATCCCTCCAGTATGCAGTACAAATTTTGAAAGTCAACAAAAACCACCAGTATTCAGTCTAAGCACTTGTTTTACAATCTAACCTACCGATAAACTCTAATTTTTATGCCTTATCCATAGCAGCAAAACCAATTTCAACAAAAGTACATAGAAAACATAAATATTCTTTAAAAAACAAACTTGTCGATATAAAATATTTAGTGTGTTTCAGTCACTTTTCCTTGTAAAATCAAACTAGTTTTCTCGACAAAGATATTTATCAGCAAGCCTAATTAATGTTTTATTTTCATGCTTACCATCAAAACCTAACTGTTGCAAGCTTGCCGGAGTGAGCATGTCTCCACATCCCAAATGCAAATCCAATACTAAATTAATGAGATTTACTGTGTATATAAAAAACCGACCACAGGTATATGATGTCAATACACTAAAAACACGAAAATATATAATGATTAGCATACATTAAATCATCATTTAGTCACAAACCCAATAATATTACATGTTATTTGACCAGCTTAAAAGATATAAGTTAGTTTTAAATATATATACAAAATTAACAATGCGAAAAAGAAAATCTCCACAAATTTAAAAAATTCAAAATGACAATAATATTTCATTCGTTACAAAGAAAATTGTTAATGCTACTAACTTTAAAGGAAAATCAAATGTGTTATTGCTTACAAAAAACAGATGTTTGCTGCTGTGTTCTTCCACCAGTATTAATTTTCATAAAACGTTTAGAAAAGACGACATTTATACTCCAGATATATATAAATCAACGTTTCGCCTTTGCGGTTTCATCAGAGTCCATATACTTAGCTTGTCTTTTATCAGAAATATAGGAGAAGAAAAAATTAATTTTCTTCTCATCTAATTTTGTTACAGTGTTTAACACTATTGATAAGAGCAACTGGGCTTATCATGGCCTTGTGGTTAGGGCACTTATCCCGCACAGAACATGCTTAATCCTTCAGCCGTGAAGGCGCTATAACGTCAATCTCACTGTTTGTGTACGAGAGTAGCCCAAAAGTTGGTGGTAGGTGCTAACGGTTGTTTGCCTTTCCTCTGGTCCGAAATTCAAAATTAGGGACAGTGGCAAATAATGTTAAACTTTGTAGTTTTTCCATAAACAAACAAACAAAAAAGAACAATCGCATTTACTTGAAATTCAAATACATCTAGTATATATATATATAATGTGAAGTTGAAAAATATTTTTGTATTTAAAGAAAGTTTCTCGAGCAATTACCTAGAAACTGTGTTATCCTTATAATGATTGTAAAATGTTCTTGTTATTATGAAAATGTCTGAGACTGTCGATAAAACATTGGAAGTTATTACGGTAGCGGTGAGTATTTTTTGTTTGTTTTTATTTCGCGCAATGCTACTGTACGACTATCTGTGTTAACCGTTTCTGATTCAGAAGTGATAGACTATAGGGAATCCTGTTAGTCAACACCACCTACGCCTACTTTTGGCTACTCTTTTACCAACGAATAGTTGGATATATCGTAATATTATAATGCCCCCACGATTAAAAGGGCAAGCATATTTGGTGACGGGATTCGAGCTCGCAACCCTTAAATGGCGAGCCGATCGCCCTAACTACTGGACTATCATTATGAGTGTTTATATCATGCGATATGTCTCAACACTGGTGGGTATTTTTGTCATTAAGTTTATCGGAATGTGATAAGTATTGGTGTCAATAACATTTTCATAACAATGGTAAGTCTTACTATCATACCATTGGTGAGTATTGTTATTATCAATTATATCACACCAGTGGCGGGATATAGCTATACTTAACGTTATCACACCATTAGTGAGGTGTAACTATATATATAGTTATCCTCAACACTATCACTGCACAACCACACACTACTTCGCCCACTGCTGAACAATTTACGCAAACAACCCGAGAAACTTCCACAAGTGACCAAATAACCCAGACTGAATTCCCGGAAATCAAAGATGCAACCACATCAACAAGTATTACCACTTTATCCATCCAGTCTACGCATGCCAAGCTCCACGCAAGAAGAAAATTCACGCAAACTTAACCCCAACTTCTGCCCACTTTTAGCGCTCAACCTTCCTCAACGACCCCTGTCCCACACGCATATACCCAACGATTCTACACTATCTGAAGACTTCTATCTTTTTGTCTGAACCTACTATAACTATAGCGAAGATGACGATCACGATCGTGCCCTTCCAAGCTTAGAACGTCCTGGATATCCTTTATTCACAGCTCCATAGACTCCTCCTGACTGCTTGAGACATCTTCAAATTTGCCATGTTAACACAATCTTCTTTAAGTAAGTTTAAACCACAAAACTTCAAGTACAACCCACATCACTATCACGAGAGGGGCGAAGAAAAGTTAAAGCTTCTGACCAACTCCGGTAATCCCTTCGGAGGATCTCATACCGAAATTCCTGTCACGTATTGTTTTGTTATCACAGCAGTGGTAAGTATTACTCTCATCAACTCTGTTGCAACAACTGTTACCAAGTCGTTTACAACAATAGTAAATATTGCAGTCTCTATCACTGCGGAGTTAAAACAAATATTATAGCTTCTATCCAGTGTTGATGTTTAACTGACTGCTTATTGTCCTTACAAAGTTGTCCTGCATTATTTAATTAAGTTTGACTGAATACATGAAACTATTTTACTTTTATGTTTCTTCATCCCAACAGGTTTGTGAAATGAGACTTTTTGTTTACCCTTAGGGTTAATTATATTCGTACAGTTCATTAGACATGGCAAATATCATTTCAAAATATTTGGATAACTCCGTTTGTGCATGACATTAAAATATGTAGAAAAAAGCTGTATTATCATATCAAACATATAGTTTTATCTTTTTGTTTGTGTATTTGTTTCTTGCAGAGTCATCTTGCAGGATGTTTGGAAACTTTATATTTATATCTCTCCCATCTGCTTTTAACTACACATCCAATATGAAAATAGAGTTTGTTGAAAGCCATTTCGAATATGCTCCTAAGGGAGTCGTTCATGTGAAGCTACCTCATCAAACGGTGATTAAAGTTAGCTACTGTAGTAGTTTCTACCAAATTGTATTTAGTATATGATCTAAATGTAAAAAGCCTTGTCGTTACTTTGAAAATGCTTTAATGCAGATACATTAGGATTTTGTTGATTTGAACATTTACTTTTTTATTACGAAATTACAACCTAATGTAACAATGTTTACTTAAATGGTTTCTCAAGTGAATAATCTTGTAGCTATGTAAAAGTTTTATTTGTATAATTTTTCGCTGCTTAATGTTTTCTACCTTATGACTTGATCTTCGACAGACTTTGTCTGTGTTTCTGAACCGTTCTAATCTTAACATTGTATGCTTAAGTAGCGGTTTTCACGCTTATACCATGGAATGAACTAATCTTGGAAAAGTATTTCGACCATCTATCAGAGATCTTTTATAAATATTAGTCTTTTAGGGTGGCTATCTGCAATTCAAGTCGTGGGGGTTTATTAGGCAATGTCCACCCAAATTTTTATTTATAACTAGATGCTAGATCATAATTGAATGCCATTGTGTTTTGGTCTTATTAGATGCAGTTTGCTTTTTTTTTTATTATTACAATAGGTATGTCGTGGTGTTAATTGAAATTCATTATGTTTGATCGTTATTTGAATATGTTTACCTGGTTTTATTTTTCGTTGTTTTTTATCCTGGTATCCTTATTGGACAAAGTTTTCAGCGCGAAACATGATTGGATATTTATTTGTATCTCTTTGCTTCTGTGAGTATAATAGTCCCATCGTAAGGTTTTCTCGACTGTTATACTCGGACACTTTATAGAAGGTCAGAAATATTGATCTCTCTATCTAAGTAATTCCACGATTTTTATAAAATTCATCGGTGTGCTTTTACATAGAATAATTGAAATATTTAGAGATCAGCATTTTATAGTTATAAATTCTGATAAAAGGGGACTGTTTTCATTTTAAACACAAAAGATCATACTGAGAAAGTTTTACCGAGTCTTTTTCTGCTTCTGATAATTAGAAATGTGATGTTCTCATCCTTATATTTAATGTACAGGCGGGTAGGTAATACAAATCAATCAAAGACAGAATACTTTTTAAAGATGTAATTAGTCAAGTTCTTCCACCATATTACGTTATAGGGTTTTGTTTGGATTTTCTAAAATACATAAAGGTAATATATTTTTAAACTTATAATGGCAATTGTAATCATATAACTGGTTTATTTATTATTTTTCTAAACCATTTCATAAAGAATAATTTTAGAAAAATATTTATTTCACATTTATTAATAAGTTGAAATATAGGTTCTTTACTGTTATAATTTTGACGTTGAATTCATTTATACTAATTTCGCTTTACAATAAATCCTTTAGTTAATGAGAAACTGCTTTAAAAAATACATATGTTAATAGCTTACTATTTCTGTTTCCATCAAACGTCACGAATTTGGTTTTGAAAACTGTCTCATTTTGTAATCAATCGACAGATTTATGATCAGATTAATAATGTTTGTATGGTTTTAAAACCTGTTTTTTGCCTAGCAAGTCTATTTTTCTGTTATTATGAAATCCATCGTTAAAACAATGTTCTGGATAATTTATGCAATTATTGTTTCCTAGATTTGTTCAATAAAACTTTTTCATTTTCAACAGTGTAAATGGAAATCTTCAAACATCACTAATCGACTTATATTCTCGACACAGTGGGAGATTAAGTTACTCATAACAAAATTATAGTTTGATATAAACACAAATACAGAAAGTGTTACTTATGTGCTTAATATTAAGATCCAGAAAAGTCGAAACACTATTCTTCAGAAAGTAAAACTAATAGTAAAAATTTTGAATACCTTAAGAAGGATTGAACTAAGAACTTGGAACATTAAAATTGTTATCATTGGAAGAGAGATTATTATTTTAACAATGAGCACACTTTTATTAGGCTACTGAACACCTGTTATATCCTTTCACTAATACTGCTCGATGTGTCATAATTTTTATTGTCTGCGTTATTAACTTTACTGAGGTCACTGTCTTCAGTTAAAAAAGATAAAGAATAAACAAATATAAGTCAGTTTAAGCAAAGTATTGTTCAAATCTTAAGGAAAACCCCTGTAAAACAGAGTGAGTCATAAAAGTTCAGTTAGATATGGAAAGTGTGTGAAGTAATCATGGTAGAAGGAAGTGCGGGTTGAAATTCCAACTAAGAATGGTGTGTTAGAAAAACCTTAGTGAATTATGAACGTGTGTAATTAAAGAATGTGTACAAAACACTCATATTCAAGGGCTGTTCTTTGGAGAAATTCCATTAAAAAAGGTTTCCTGGCGAACTGAGAAACGCATGTGGAAAAATTCTTGTTGAGTAATAATTAATTTACTTGTCATTAGACATTAATGTTAGGCCTATTATATTTTTAACACTGCATTATACATCTAGTCCCTTAGAGATTTTCAAGAATTAGTAAAGTGTACAATAAAATATTCCAACCACACTACGTTCGTCGTATTTATTGTCGGCGACACGTTCCGTCAATTCAGTGCTCATCAGGACAGGCGGGACACATCAAACACAATAGTTGTTAGAAAACTATTAAAACAACATTTTTTTATGGTGTGAACGCCCTTTTTAAGCTAGCGGAGCATGATTATAATTAATTTATTTTTCATTAGACATTCGTATACTAGGCCAATTACATTTTTAAACACTGAATTCTTAATCTAGTCCGTTAGGGATTTTTAAGAATTAAAATAATATACAATAATAGTATTCCAACCATTCTATACTTGCCATATATCTATTGCCGACGACGCATTTCGCTCAGTCCAGTTTCGCTAATTGTAACTGTTCAGTTATGATGTATTGTTGAAATCTCGTTTAAAAGGCAAATCATGTATTTTATTTTATTTTAAATGTTGCATTTTTGCTGTTAAGATAATTATGTAGTAATTAGCTATTGGTATGTGAGTTAATAGAGGTTATTATTTTGGGTGTTTTTTAGGTTAAACCAATACTACATGTAGAAGGGCCAGAAAAAGTATGCTCTGGTATGCTACAAATACACATATCAGAAGTAGTAGGAGGAGGTGTATTTGGACTAAACTATACGTGGTCAATAACGCCCGACCTCAAAGGTAGGACTAAATAGTGTACGCGATGGGTAATTTGAGAACCGAAAGACAAACGTGATCAGTAACGTGAATGCCAAAACAATAAATCAAACTTGTGTGATCTGTAACTTAAAAGGTCTTAGGATCAAAGTAAATACCTGGAAAAGTAGCCTCTAAACCAAATGATGGTATTAAAATATGTTCTGTAACATCATAACCAGAAGTTAAGACTACATTATCAATTATAACTTGTAAAACACAAGGTAAGCGCGAACTGTAAATGATGCTTAATGTGGAAACCAAAATTTATGATCAAATTATCTGCGTGAACCGAACTGTATAATGTTTTCTTAATATTTTAGATGCTTTATTTTCTAACCAAATGTTTTTCATCATACATAAACATTTTCTCAATGGCTTTTTAGATTGTTTGTTGTAGTTAAGCACAGAGCTACACAATGGGCTATCTGTGCCGTTCCCACCACGGGTATCGAAAACTGATTTCTAGCGTTATAAGTCCGCAGATTTACCGCAGTGCGGATTTTTAGATACGTAGGCTTATAATTAACAATATTATTATGAACTGTGAGATTACATTTAAACGCCATTTTCTGGCAGTTCTATTGTTATAAAGAAAATAGTCATTTCTAACTAAATGCTCATCAAAATCTAATGTGCTAGAAGGTGTTTATCGTTAGTTTATAATACATTGTATAGTTCTGAAGGTGTTCGTCAGAAGCTAAGGTCTTATAAATGTTCTACTTTAGATATGTTCACTTTCATAAAGCAATTTTTGTTGTGAAGTTCAAACCTACTTACAAAGGTTTTCTGTTTGCCTTCTAGAGATATTGTTTGTAATCAAAAGCATTATTTTGAAATTAATGTCCATTATAAGCCTAATCTTCCTGATTTTTAAAAACATGTATGCTTGTATTTTTTTAAAGAGTTTCATTGTGCTATGTTTATGTACAAATCAAATATTAAATCTTAAAAATGGTGTGTAATCAACAATGTCATTATGGTGTGAGTTTTCATCATAGGCTAATCAAGAACGCAATTCTCCAGGAAATGTTCATCGAGAGCACAATATGTAAATTTTTTTTATGCTCCGACAGCGAAACAGAGCGAAGCATATCGGTTTGTCCCTATCTGTCCGTCTCGATCTTGTGGATACGTTATCTCAAAATTAGATTGATGTATTTTCACCAGTCTTATACAACAGATACACTACATACCGAGTTCTAGACCTGATTAACTGTTGAATGTCATTGGTCAAAGTTCAAAATGATGGGCATAGGTGTTTCATGAACAAATTTACACTTATTATTTTTTGTTTTATAACCATAATCTTGACAAACATTTTAAAAAATTTGCAGCCCTCTGGTGGCTCAGCAAAAAGCGTGAGTGCTTATAATACTAACGGCCTGGCATGGCCTGGCCTGGTGGTTAGGGCACTCGACTCGCACTATGAGGGTCACGGGTTCGAATCTCGTTCCCGAATATGCTCGTGGGGGCGTTATAAAGTGTCGGTCAATTCTACTATTCGTTGGTAAAGAGTACCCCAAGAATTGGCAGTGGGTGATGTTGACTAATTGCCTTCTCTTTATTATGTCAATTATAAATGGCTAGTGGAGATAGCCTTTGAGTAGCATTGCGCAAATTTTGAAACAAACAAAATATTGTAATGCTAAACTTCGGTGCTCGATCCCTGAGGTGCAGCTTCGCGCTTAAAGCAAGCAAACTGTATTAGTTGACATTCAATATTGCTGTTTTGAAGTGTGAGTGTTTATAAATATCCAACGTTTGTTTCAATATGATATTTTAAAATTAATATAATCTATAATTCAAAGCGTAAAAACAGGGTGTTCTGTGGTAGTTTGGTTCGAATATGAGTAATTGAGATTTTTAAAGACGTTATTCTGTCTTTTTTATAGTATGCCAACTTTAGCTTGAGGTCCTTACATACGTATATATATATTTATATATATGTATGTATGTATAAGGTAGTTCAGTAATAACTTAATAATAATAACTTAAGTTCTAGGTAAGAGTTTTATAGCTGTAATTATCCTGTAATAATAGTCTAGGTTGTATGTATTTCATAAATGTAGAAATTAAGGGTGTTTCTACAAACAAGTTTCTACCAAGTCTAACATTAGTCTGACGGTGTTTTAGGGGTAATTATCATATCCACAACCGGCTGGGGCGGTAATTGGTAGTAGGTTCTGGGACACTGTGGGGTATATAACCTATCCCTGTTTGATTTTCCTTACTAACTGTCTTGTTTTCATCTGCATCTTTATAGTATGTCTGATAAACAGGATATCCCAAAAGCTATTAGGAGCTATTGACAATTTCCTTTAAAACACGCTACATTTCGTACTTTCCTGAGAAATTGACAAGTGGTATAACTTTGAAATTATCTTTTTTTGTATTTTTGTTACTGGTGCGGTAGAGGATTGATTTGATTTTACAAATTTACTTGGATTTGTTTTTCAAATATTATGATCTTGAATTTCACTTTTAAAAATTTGGTTCTGCGCTTTATTTTTTCGTTGTTAAATAATGTTGAATTTTTCAGCTATATACTCTTGATGAAAATAACATAATTTCAATCCTTATATATGTTTTCTTTAATTTGTCTCAATAAAATTAACTTGGACAAAAAATGACATTTCAATAAACTCATGGAGGGCTTGAATTGGAATATACAAAATTCTGATCGACTTTAAAAACGTTTCATTTGATCTCGACTATTACAAAACAAGAACTGTGTGTGGCTTATATAGGAAGACTGTTTAACAAAATGAATTAAAATTGTACTGTCACAAGACATTAGTATTAGGCCTATCACATTTTTAAACACTACATTATACATAGTTTTCTGTTAGTTTACTATTGAATTTGATAGTAAGTAAAATCGAGGCGTTTTATCTATAAGACAAACTAGTTTATTTGGGTCGACCAGTGATATCCAGATTTCAAAGTGGAACCAGTCTAAATATCAAAACGTTGAGATTCCCAAATAGCTGTATTGACACGAATTCACCCAGTTCATGTTGGAGTGCAACAGAATTAACTTTTTAAAGTCCATGAAATAATTTAAATTGATAGACTAACTCAAACTTTTCCCGTCACTGGGGACGGGTAATTTTGCTTGTCCTCCATAAACGTATACATACCTAACTGTTATTCTGACTTTTGTGTGTTCCAACATATTATTTAAAATAGCAAATTTGTTTCTTCTATTTAGACGTTCAGTGAAATACCCCGTTTTTCAAATCCCTTTAATGATATTTATTTATTTTATACAAATCAAGCTTAATTTTGTTTTCACTGAAACTTTTAATATTAACTTTAAATATATTTTTCCTTTGAATCAGTTTCCAATAATTTTCATTTTATTTATAAACTTTTTTTTGGTTTCACTCTGAGCCAAAGCTCTGAGCTACTTATACCGAACCAGCTCCAAACTAAACTAACAATACTAACTAGTTTAGTTTGAACCAGCTCCAAACTAAATTGGCTATACTAACTACTTTAATTTGAACCAGCTCCAAACTAAACTACCAATACTAAGTAGTTTAATTTGAACCAGCTCCAAACTAAACTACCAATACTAAATAGTTTAATTTGAACCACCTCCTAACTAAACTACCAATACTAACTAGTTTAGTTTGAACCAGATCCAAACTAAACTACCAATACTAACTAGTTTAGTTTGAACCACCTCCAAACTAAACTAGCTATACATAGTTTGTTCGATAACAACTAAACCTATTAAATTTCTTCATGGATTCTTTAATTAGCTTATAATCAAGTGTTACTTTCAAATGTATGTTCTTTACAAATAAATGTTTTTCATACAACGTTTTAAGTACAGCGCTATTCAACGTTTAGACGATTTTCATTTATACATTTTGTATATAATCAACAGTTAGCTTTAAAGTAAGTATAATTCTTAAACCAATATTTTCTTAACATCATACACACGTTGTTTTATAATGTATTTTGAATAGACAATCCTTTGTAACGCTGTTGTTTATAAAAGTATGTTCATAACCTAATTTAAGACCGATTTGAAATTTAAGTAATAATCATGTTTCGCTTTCAAAATCCATTTATAGTGGCTTATTGCAAGCGTTGTATCTATATTTTAATATATATATACATATATTATGTTCTATGTAATAAGCTCCTAGCGAATAATTTTTCTTTTACTTGAAAGTGAATTTAGCAACCATTTTTGACTTCCTGGAAAATACAACCTCACTGCTGGAAATTCCTGTTGAAAAGGTACAGATTTTTATAATCAGTTTGAGTCCGTAGTCTTATAACAGTGGAATTTACCTAAAAGTATATTAAATAGTCCTAGTATTCCGAGTATTGTTTAGTCTCAAAGACTAAGTTCACCGGAGGTCCAGTTTAATCTAAACCTTGATCAACGTGTGTTATTGGGTTATACTAGTTTCGGAGAATTCCATTTGTTATCAGTGATATTGAAAGAGTTTATATATTCGGTATATCCAAAGAGAGATATCATAGTGAAAAGTATCAACCATATTATTGGTGTGAACTCAATAGTGGCCAATGACACTTTTTCTTTATTTCACCTATCCAATGTATAGGTTTTTCACATAGTGACTACAAAGCATGTTCGCATCAACAATATGGCTAAAAATATTTGTTGATTTGAAGGCGTATGATTGTATACATTAAAGAAGTTTAGGTTAAAAGCTATCAGTAATATAAAGAAAACAATAAATAGCAGCTGTAAACATTATCTATGCTACCTTATTTTGTTTAGAAATGGAAATAAACAATCATTAAACGGTAGTATAAAAACTAATAATCTTCTAGTAAATCAGTAACAGTTTCGTCTTATTATAATTTTACAATGTTGATTTACAATAAGTTTAATTAACGCTTTCATAGATTTAACCTTACTGCAATTAATATGTAATATTACTGTCATGTTTCTTTACTATAATATGATTTATATATCACTCCTACATTACTTGTTCTATTTACGGTGTTAATTAAACCAGGACTATTACTCTCTTGTTACTTTGTTATTATGTTAGGTATATATCATAATTTCTTCTGAAACATACGTTTATTTTACAAGGTATTTCTCGTTACGACATAAGGCTTAAACTATAAGTATTATGTTTTTTACAGTAATAAAACTAACCATGCCAGCTTTTTTTGTCATTATAATGTACAGTACAACATTAACATTTTAATTCTCGACAAAGTAGGGCATACCTCATGTCTGTTTTGTTAGTAGACTGAAAACTTGTGTTCACACATCCCCAACTTTGATCTTTCAGGGATGTATAGTATACCCTACCTTGCTTTTTTCCTACTGCTAACTAGTGCTATATTGTTTCACTGCTATGATGTAGGACATATACCAATTCTAGCTTTCTTTCCTAGAGTTTGCAGTTATTCCTTTCTTTTGTTTTTATTATACAATTTAGTTATACCACTATTCTATACCTTAATTATTATACCTTGTAATAATTAGATAATTATGAAAATTAATGAAAAACTCTTACCTTGTGTACTTATTCAAAATTTTAACCAATTAACTCTAGATGTAAATTAGCTGATATATAAATAATCATCAGAAGTTTGGATTAAACCTAAAATAGGTTTCTTATGTAAAATATAAAGATTTAGTTTGGTTCAGTTTATTATGGTTTGTTTATAAAACCATAATAATTATGAAGCGTAAGAAAATTAGTATGAAGCAGTAAAAACTCACAGAGAGAAATTTAAATCAAGTTGGTAACGAACACTGTTAAATAAGTTTTCAACGTAAGTCATGAACAGTTCACGATGATCAACTTGTTTAGTTGACTTAGATTAGGATTAAATCGCTGTGTGAGGTAATTTATATTTAGCCACTGTATGAGTCTTTATTGTAACATTACACAAATAAAGATGAAAATATACATGAATATGCGCACCTACACATATATATATTAAACATATACATATGTATGCAATTATCTATCTATCTATATATATATATATATATATACAGGTAGACATAACACTCTATAACGCCAATGCTTTAATTGAGCATTCATAATGCTTGTAAGGTTATTTTGTGTATAATAACCAACATTTTTAAGGCTACCAACCATTTTTAATACTGAGTGAGTCCGTCAATCCTGATTTAGTCCATGAAAGTAAATAAATAAAAATGTTCGATATTTTAATAGGTAAGACGTTAGCAATATTAATAAGTCAAGTATTTCTAACTTTACACATTTTTATATTAAAAGACTAAAAGACGTAAAATTCACAGAAAAACAAAACAGGATGAATGAGGATGCATATTCGTTTGACATCAATGTTCTTCCCTTTTCTTCAGTTTTTGTATATTTTTTTTAACAAACATGTTTATTGTGGTAAAGGAAATAATAATTTGATCTAAGTAAGAGTTTTTTTTCCTAAGAAATCCTTACGTGATGGAAAAAAAAAGAATATTATTTTCGAAATCTGTGTTGTGAATTATGGAAAATCCAATTTTAAACCAAAACAACTTTTATGAATTTTAAATTCGCTTCTGTGTAATTGTTAGATAGATGTATCCAGAACTATGAATCTTAATCTATGTATTTTATGCTTTTATCACACACAAAAGAATACCAAACACTTATTTCTTTATGTTCTTTAACCTATTTATCACTTACACGTAATAGTTCCTGCAGATTAGTTGTTACAGCTAGATTTAAAATATTTTTAAATTTCATAAAATTGAGATTTGAGGTTATGGGAATACTACATAAGCCGATATAAATATCTTTAGTATGAAGTATATCAAGCAAGCACTGAAGAAAACTAAGTGATGACTTAATTTTGATTATCATTGTTTTACTGCTATGATGTAGGACATATACCAATTCTAGCTTTCTTTCCTAGAGTTTGCAGTTGTTCCTTTCTTTTGTTTTCATTATACAATTTAGTTATACCACTATTCTATACCTTAATTATTATACCTTGTAATAATTAGATAATTATGAAAATTCATGAAAAACTCTTACCTTGTATACTTATTCAAAGTTTTAACCAATTAAATGTATCCATACCAGGCTTAAAACAGGCCAAGCCATGGATACAAAGATGGCGTTTTATTGGTAAAAGTAAAAATACTGTCTGATTACCATTACCTCCTTTTCTGACTTGAGAATTAACTCCATAGGTTAAATCGTAAGAAATATTTTTATACGTTAGTTTTCTCTTTCCTTCAACTTAATCGATAGAGTGATTCTTACTTCATAATACTTTCCATATTTTATTAAAGAAATCACTGAAAGTGTGTCCCAAAGAGCTAAATGTGTCTAGAAATAAAAAATGACATATTTATTTTTAAAACGACCCCTATTTTATTAATATATATTTATACACACACTCACTCAGTAATCTAAATACTTATGGAAATACATTATAGATACACATACAGGAGTTTTAAAGAACAAGGAGCTCTTAATAAATGGTGAATTTTCAATGGTGCAAAGCATTATTTCATAAAAGACAAATTAAAAGCAAATATGTACTGGTATTTTTTTATTTAAGTCGTTTGTTTTATATATACATTTTTACATCTTGTTTTCTAACTGCCACATAATTGTGGAATATTGCATCAAGTGTTCTGTATTACTCCTCACAACTCAGCCAATGTGTTTGGTCACCTTTTGACATTCTTAGATTTCGTATAAGCCCATAACGCCGCATTTATTTTCATACCAGGCTTTATACAGGCCAAACCATGGTTGTGATTGTTCCACCGGCCTCTTTAATGTTAAAACGTCTTTTACTGCTAACATATTGTTTCACCACATTTATTGTAAGGTTGGGATCATTATCTTGATAGAAGATGAATCCCTGGCAGAATAGTTGTGTTCCCAAGAGAATGTCGTGATGGATCACAACCTATTGTACTTGTCAGCAGTTATGGTGCCATCAGTTTTGTGAAGATCACTAACATCGTTGGTTCAGAAACAACGAAAACGTTTACCGATCCACACCATGCATCACTCTGCATTTTGTACATTGACTATGATATTGTTCTCTTCTAAGTCATTGAAACAATTGTCATTAAGTGGTGATAAACAATTAGAAATAGGATTTGTCTGTAAAGAGCATACGTCTTTATCTTTAATAATTTCACTATTTTTGGTCCAGTGCTCACCTTCATCCTTTTGGTTTGGTTACTTTTTTCTCATTAGCGGTTTTTAAGGAGCTACTCGTTCATTGAGGCCATTTCATGCTAGTATATATATCTTACTCTGTTGGAAATAATATTTTCCATGTTTGTTTGAAGTTAAGCGCCAAGCTACACAAAGGGCTGTCTGTGCTCTGCCCACCACGGGTATCGAAACCCTGTTTCTAGTGTTGTAAGTCCGTAGACATACCGCTGTGCCTCTGGAAGGGTAATTTCCATGTATATTTATAGCAAGGTAGTTGGCGAGATCTGTATTCAACCACCGTTTCATTTATAAAGAACAGTTTCTTGTTAGTGGCAGACAGTAAAATTATTCCCTTTTTATATCGATCAACATTCTAATGAGCAGCACAAAATTCAGTAATAGTATGCTTTAGAAAACATATCCATATGTTAGTTAGCAGAATGTAGTAGCATTATGGCTTTTAAATATCAACCCATGTGTTAGTTAGCAGCATCAATTATCTATTTACATTTTTGTAACATAATCAGACAGTTGCAATTTACTTTAGAAAATCATTGACATATTTGATATTATCAAAAGTAGTATTAAGCTACATGAATACCAAACAGAACGATAGTTTATGCACAAAGACATACTATGTTGTTTTAGCTCCAACCAACGTGCTATTCTGAATTACATGTTCGCATGATTTTTACACCTTTTTAAATAAAAAATCTATATATTAGTTTCTTGTAAGGGTATTAGTTAATAGTAGATAGATAACTACTTCCTTTGAACAACAATCCACTTCCATATGACTTTTAATATTTAACTTTAGTGGAGAAATTAGAAAAATGTTGGTTGAATACCAACCTCATGCCATTCAGCAGTAGGTTGTAGTTACATGCTACTTGAGCTTCAATCCAAGTGTTGTTTGATAACACAAAGCAGTCAAGTACTTAACACCTAAAAATAAATAAGATGTCGCATAAGGTTAATCTAATATTTGTCTACTAACTATTTAGAAGCAATAAATAGTATGCTTTTCATCCGATGAGCATAATACTGATCTAGACCTCTTACTTGTTAGTTAACATCAAACATGATTATAGAGGTTGGGTATGTTATATAGAAACGATTTTGGTGCTTCATCACGTCGTTACAGTAAATGTTGCTACATACGATCATGTTCTATATGACGAACGTGTATTTTGACAATACTCCTGCAGCATAGTTTCCATTGTAAAAGGTTTCATCGTAAGGCTGTCATCTTCAAAGCACACCACTACTTCTTGTATACTTTTCATTAAACATCTAGTGCATAAGGATGACGATTTCCAAGAGTCAGTTTCAACAGTCAGATCGCAAATAAATGCATAGGCATTAATACCTGTATCATTTTACCACTGCTTATCGTATGCGACGGTTGAACGATGTGTCGTGGAAGCAACTTGTGTAGTTTTTCCAGACAGAGATCCTTCTATATTATGTTGCACACTGTTGCCTGAGGAACATGGGCGGCTTTTGCCAGTAAACTTTCTGTTTGTGAATAATCACCTGTCGCAGACTTTGCTTACTACGGCTGGGGTAGAACTTGTTGCAGGTCATTTTGTATATGGCCCTGGTACCCGAAGTTTTCCCGTATTCTTTTGTTTTGCAATGCTATTATGTGGAAAGGATGTCCTTGTCTTTGAAATTCCAAATCATAGGTCTGAATACATCTGTATTATCTGAGTGTATGAATATTTGGCGTCAAAAAGGCCCGTTACATACCCTTCCCAAAACGCTCCATTTGCGGTGGCATCACTCTACCTAGAAAATTACAAACGATGTTAAAATATAACTCAAATATCTAACTTTATATCGGATTGTTACATATTAGAATTTT